ATCTGCAACGGGAGCTCCCCCCAGAGCCCGGAAACATCGGGGCTCTGTTGGGGTTAGCGCTTGGGATGTTAGGGTTTAGGGTTTAGGCTATAGGGTTTAGGGTTTAGGGGATATTTTTTAGTGTTTAGGGTTTAGGGTTAGGGTCCTTTGTTTGTTGTGACCTCTTTTCCTCCTGCACCATCCAAGGGTTCAGGGATAGGGTTTCAGGAAACCCGGGGTTCCAAAAGGGTCGACGGGCTCAGAGCTTGGGGTTTAGGGTTTTCTTGGAGGGTCGGGGGGGACGTGGCAAGTAGGTAAGAAGTAGACGTAGAAGTACCGTGAACGAGGTCCTAATTGGGGCTGTGATACTTAATAAGTCTCTAAGAGAAATACTAACTAAGCCCCCGACCCTGCAAGCTGGGATGTAGAGTTTTGGGGATCTCGGGACAAACCACCCTAAACCCTAAACCCTAAACCCCGCCATGCCTGCAACCTGGAGCTCCACCGTCCCAGCGAAGCCATTCGGGTGGAACCTGGGTTGGGGTTTAGGGCTCTTCGTTTGACGGCCCTTTTCGCATCTCTGCTTACTTTAGGGTTTAGGGCTATGGGCTTAAGGTTTAGGAATCTGCTTCTCGTGTTACGACGATTATTCCTTGTATATAAGCCTTCAGCCCTCGACCAACACGCACACGGCTCAGGCGTTGAACACACAGCCCTCTACACGTTTCGAAGGCTTTAAGACGTTTCGAATTGCTTTAAACCAGAACAACAAAGATCAAAGTTAACATTTCCTCCACGGTGAAAGCAGCAGATAATCAACAACTCAAGGCTTTGTGACAAGATGCGAAACACTAGACACGGGCCTTCTGCCCTGAATTTGCAGATAGGGTGAGTAGAGAGACTTCCGCCTGAACACAAACATCAGCAAAGCTACCGGGGGCACGAGACAGGTCTTCTTAGCACCCTGAAAACACAGCAGGTCCTGGGCCCTCTTCTATGATTCATAAGCTGCAGTCGAAAATTCGATAGTGCTTATGAGTTGGGATCCTCATTTTGCAGCCATCTCTCCCAGATGCAGTTTTTTTTAGGAGTTTTGGGTTCAAGGCAAAACTGCCATCGGAACTAGGCTGATTCCTGATGCCGACGCTGCTACTGCTGTTGCAACCACCACTACTAGTAGCATTGCTGTCATTAGGACTACTCCCCTGAACGCTACCATGATGCTTACCATGCCTCAACCCTAAACTCTGGGGTTTGCGACTGGGGGCTGTCGGTACCTTGGCTTTAAGGCGCTAAACCCTGCTAAACCTGGAAGCCTGAACTCGTCGACTACACTCCTCAGGGTCACCTTGGAGCCCTAAACTCTGAAGCCTAAAGCCAAGACCTACATGCAAAGAATTCTGAACCCCAATACCCCAGAGAAAACCCTGAAGCATAACCCACAATCCCAGGTGACCAAGTAAAAGCGGGCGAGGAGCGTATCGGATGCCACCTTGCAGGTTGCCAAGGCGAGATCCTCCGGCTTGTCGAAGTGGAGAATTTAAGGCTTTGGGTTTGGGGTTTCAGGGCTTGTAGGGTTGAAGGTGTAGGGCTTGAGGCTTACAGTGCTTGGGGTGCAGGGTTCAGGGTTTTGAGTTTGTGCAGTCAGGGCTTTGGTTTCGGGTTTAGAGTCCGCGATTCGGGGAGCGGTGTTCAAGGATCTTGGATGTCGGGTTGCGACCTAGGCAATGGGCTGTTTTAGACTGTACGCGCATTCTTTGGAGCAGGGATTCTCAGATTGCGAATGTTACCTGAGTTGAGTCTGAGAATTGGCCAAGTAACCTACACAGTCACGCCTACCTGCCCCCTAAGCCCTAAACCCTAAAGCACCCAACGACACCAGTCTTTTCAAGCTACCACGCCTTGCTCCCGCGGCTCTCGTTGAAGACGGTGAAATGCAGAAGGTCTCCTGAAGTGAAGTGAGCTCAGCTTCCAGAGGCTCCCACCTTATAGTCCCTGCTATACTTTCAAGGGCCTCTAGGGTGGGTTTAGGGTATAGGGTTGAGGGTTTAGGGTTTAGGGTTTGGGGTTTGGGGTTTAGGGTCCTACTATACTTGGTACAATATTCCCCCCACAACCCCATTCTAAGTAAGAGGCACCCGTAGCTCAACCCATCACCACGGTGATCAACATTGAATCATGAGCCTAACGCCGACTTAGAGCGCTCTTAGCCGTCACGCAAAAAATCCTCAGCCCCAAAGCAGGAGAAGAGCCTGCAAGGCAAAAGCCTGCAGCTCCAGGCCCAAAGCAAGAACTCTAAACACTTTAGGGCTTAGGGCTTAGAGTTTAGGGTTTAGGGTTTAGGGTTTAGGGTTTCCTACCCAATCCCGCGATTTCCAGGCAAATCCCTCCTCCCAAGCTCCAAGACAACAGGCCAACAGCTCCTCTGCCGCTCCTCCTGGGAGTCTAGTCTCAAGCAAGACCTATGACCCCAACTCCAACGGTCCAACGAGGATTTTGGCTTTAGGGCCTAGCGCCAAGCTCCCCAGAGTGCAGCAAGAAGCCTGGCTTGTAAGCTGCTGTGCGTCGCTCGTAGTTCCTTGGGCAAGCTCCGGGGCTTGGAGCTTCAGGGGCTTAAACCTATGCTTCTCTTTGGCGCTTCGGGGCCTTAACTCCAAGACCTGCAATGGCAGAGCAAACGAACGGTAGCAGACCCCAAAGCCAGCCCAAACTAAAGCCATCCAAAGCCTAAGCTGAACCTCCGATCTGCTCAAGACCGTATCTACCATGATGAAACCGATCACCGTGACAGCCTTAATGCCAACCCGCAAAAAACCATGACTGTCTGGCCTCGCATGAGAATCTCCACCCCAAGCCCTCACCCCAAGCCCTCATCCCAAGAATCTATCACAGCATACACCTTAACAGCCTTAACACCCACCCGGAGCTGGCCATTACTGCACTACATAGGGCCGAACCAAAAGTCACATCGCAGTATCTGCTTGAACGCTCACGCCAGGAAAACCGCAACAGCAATCCCTGACCAAGCCCAACAACCGCGGGAAATATCGTGAAAAGTCTGGCCCATAGGCCGACATATGAATAACCCTCTGACCACCACACAATAGCACCCATCAATACTGGAACCCGAGCTGTTGCCTGTTCTTAGCAGGACGTTTCGATTGCTACTGTGAGATGCATGTACACGAGGGTGCGGGCCATGGTGATGGTAAGGATCGCGACGGTGATGATGATGATGCTGCTGCTGCTGCTGGTGGTGCTGCTGCTGCTGCTGCTGCTGGTGGTGGTGGTGGTGGTGGTGGTGGTGGCGGCGGCGGCGGCGGTGATGGTGGTGATGGTGGTGATGGTGGTGATGGTGGTGATGGTGGTGATGGTGGTGATGGTGGTGATGGTGGTGATGGTGGTGATGGTGGTGATGGTGGTGATACCGGCTTCGATCCTTCCCCATAGCATTGAAATATCACCGCTGGAAATATCTATCCATGTATGCATCAGAAATGACGCTGACACTTCTATCATCTTTAGCCCCAACGGCCACTCCGGAAACCCGGAGTGTTCCACAGTCTGCGATGTGAACGATGCCAGCGGCCGGCCTGGAATCTCACCTAGGCCCAGAGACTTGCCCCTGCGTACAGGAGAAAGCATGGACGGTCTCACTATGATGACGAGAAGGCCGGGCATGGTTGTCTCAACTGCAATTCGAAGTCGGGCAGGTCTGGTTGGGTGGGTTTTCGGACGATCCAGACAAGGCACACTTGCAGTACAAGTTGCACGCCGTCCTCGCGCTATACTGCATGGGCCACGGGGCTGAAGGGCCAGGATTTCCCAGGTAGGTTGCAACTTCAGGAAAGTTCAGGAGAAGGCTTTACGGTCCTGGGGGCCGGTCTCCCAAAATAGAGCACAGAGATTAGCCGCTTAGCTACCATGCGAGTCTGTATCCAGCTTTCAGCTGCTGTTAGGTACCTGCTTCTAAGCCCTGCGGAAGTTTATGGGTGCCCCATCTCCGCTAACAGCTGCAGCACACCCGAGTGTCGCAGACGGGCCAGCTCTTTGAGCACTTCACTGTCACTGGGAGCTCGAGGTCCTGCCCAGCATGCCCGAGTACGCTTCCAACAAGTGCTTCCCGCCGACAATCTTCACCTGATGCAGTAGGATGGCCAGGAAATCGATGCATCTTCGAGGGAGTTCACTTGCGCGGGGGAGTTCGAAACATCCCAGAAGGTACATGGATACTGGTTGCGGTATGCAGTACTAACAAGTGCCACATCGATTGCAACCGCAGCCGTATTGCTCGGTCACCTACCCTGTATGAGACCACGCGAAGCACACGATACAGAAAAATGCAAGGTTGCCAGCATCAGCATAAGGACCTTTGTTGGCGGCAACAGCAACAGCAACACAACTGCAGCAGCACCTCTCATTGTAACATCCTCGCTGTCGTCGTCCTTGTCAACAAAGTCTTGATATCGGTTGTAATCATGGTGGTGGTACTGCTGCCGCAGCAGCAGCAGCAGCAGCAGCAGCAGCAGCAGCAGCAGCATCAGCAGCATCAGCAGCAGCAGCAGCAGTAAGCAGTAAGCAGGAGTAGGAGTAGTAGCAGTGGTAGTAGCATAGTAGTAGTAGTAGTAGTAGTAGTAGTAGTAGTAGTAGCAGTAGTAGAAGTCGTACGGACACTTCGGCAAAAAATGAAGCAATGACATTGCCGCCTTGACATTGGATGCGTCGTCGGCCTTGCTCGATAGGATGTTGAGGGTTTGGTGCCAAGGGCTTCTCGAAACCCATCAGCTGCAGAAGACACACGAAGTGTTCAAGTCGTGAACGTGTCCGTCCGTGGAAACTTCAATGCCACGAACAAAGCACAGGACTCCCGCATGCAATGGCTCACAGCAGGGACTAGGTGACTAGGCGTGAAGCCGCTGTCTCCAAAGATGCAAGAAGATTCGAAGACTCCAACACTGCCATGGACGCAGAGTGATTCTTTTGACGCCAGTGATCCCCAGTCAAACTCCCAGCCGGGGCTCCAGATCGTCCGCAGAGGCTGGAAACTCCCCTGCAAGGTTCGAAACCTTCACCTTGGCGTGAGCTTCAGTGAGGTGGACCCGCAAGTGTTGGTCTGCTATTCATCCATCCGCAGGCTCTGAAGAATCCCCTATCTACATTACTCCGGGACCGAAACTGCACCACACAGATTCCAGGAATCTGCAACAGCCAGAAGATGGCAGCTCCTCCCTTGCTGAGAACGTACATGAAACTGAGATGGAAGCACATGGGGGAGGGGGGCCGGCTGCTTACAAAATAGCTATATGTATATAATATAGATAATAAATTCTAGCATATATGAAATTTCAAATGTATAATCTATAAGCTATAATCTATAATATAATACATGTTATACGTCGTATAGAAGCTATTATATAAAATGTTCCATACATAAGATATTATATACAATGTATCATGTGTTACATGTCATATATAATATATGATATATATATATATATATCTATGTATGTATGTATGTATGTATATATATATATATGCATACCCTTGTCGAGCCACCTGAATGTAGGATTCCAGGCCCTCCGGGTTCTCGAGCCTTGGCGGGTCGGCGAAGATTCAGGATGCCCCAAAGCCGCTCGTAGACACTCAGACCTACAGCACCTCACGAGGTTACGGGGTACCAGCTGATCGCTATACTATATTGCTTTTTTGTACTCTACCTGCACCGGGATTGCAAAGGCGTAGCAATGCTGAGTTGCGAGGCATCTGTCTAACGCCCCAAACCCCAAGAGGTCGACATGAAGACAGGGCTCTGAGCAACAGTTTGCACATGTCCAACTGCGCAACCCAAGGGCCCTAAACCCATCACTTGAAGCCCGAACCCCATGTTGTGAGCATCCAAACCTTCGGGCGGCAGGAACAGCTTCAACGTAAATTCCCTGGCAACTTCATCGTCCCAAGGCAGAGAGGAACCAGAAAATGCGATGCTTGCTCGACACATACACCCCAATGACTCATATACGATAGGGCGGCTGAAAGCCCACTGGCTGTTGCCACACTAGTTTGCAAAGTGGAAGAAAGCCCTTCAAACAGCTCATCCAGTCGGTAAGCCAGAGTTGAGATCTTCAGCATTTGATTCGGGGTTCAACACCAAGGCCTTAGAAACCCCAGAGCCCTTGAGAGCTCCTCTGGAAGATCTACAGACCTGAGCCCAGCAGCTTGAGCTCCCCCACGAAGCCATTGGGGTGGAATTTCGATGCTTCCCTGATCAGGCGTAATATAGGGGCCTAAATAATTACCTATATTATTTTGGGGGGTTCCTTTTTATAAACGTAGCATAATGGGCCCCAAAACCCTATTCTAATTATTAAGGCCCCTACATTAGGGTCGAGGCTCAGGGCTTCGGGCTCATTAGGGCCTCCGATCTTCGGGTTTTCGGGTTTTTGTGGCTTCCATGACTCCACGGTGCTTCGTTCCACTCGTCGTGCGGCTCTTTAGCATTCGTCTTGGGTTTCTTCGTCGTTAAGACATGCTCCTGAACACAGAGGCTTCGCAAGAGCTTTCGCTTGAGGCCCCGGATGTAGTGGTTTGTGCTTTCTGGCTTTAGGAAAAAATGGCTCAGGACTGGGAGTGAAGATATGGAGCTCAGTTCTGATTCTGCGGCGTAGGCGTCTGCGCATGAAGAAAGCTGTGACAGCCACGGGCGATTTCTGGAGCCAAGGCTCAGGGTCGCGCTGCCCAAGAAATCGTTCTTGTAGTTCCAGTCTTGGTCATAGACCGTCAACCTCAAAAACAGAGAGTGCAGGCACGTCCAACAGCGGATCCTTGATTCTTTGAGCAAGTGAACCCAAACAGCACAATCCCTCGATGTGCTGGCGGCAACTCTCAGCCTACGCCTGTCCTTAACGGGCGGCTTCAGTGCCGAGGCTTTGGTCGCAAGGACCTTTACACCCTATCTGGCTGTCAGCCGATCGCTGCAGGCTGAAACCATCTGAGCGGCTTGGATGCCTAAACCGTCGACTGGAACCAGTCAACCAAAACACTGAGCTCTGAGTGACAAATGCTTGCCCCGATTCCTAACCGTGCTTGTTCTGACTGTCAACGTATAATGATGCATCGTCTAATGTAGCCAATTTCAATTTCCCAGCGCGAATCTGGGAAAGTCTTGCACTCAATGCCTCCTTGGAGGTTCATGGGCAGTGTGGTTCTCGGTAACATCACTGAACTTATGACTTATAACTGATTATGGCAACCTTGGCCGAAGCCCAACTTTACGCACCGTCTTCATGATCCGTTCCAGTATACGTCATACGTATGTTATTGATTATGAGGATGACCATTCGTGTCGACGTTTTCTGGCTGCTACCCTTGGTGATATTCTTCCTTGGCTACCCTTGTTGTGCTTCATCGTGACATGAGCGAACATAGGTCTCCTGCTCTCCTTGCTTCAAAAGAGCTTCAGCGCACTCCCGACCTTGTAGTTCGGGAACTTGCCTGGAGCATCGGGTCTGATGGGAGAACTCAAGGTTTCAGGGCTTGCGGACTAGAGGTTTGCGCTTGGGGATCGCAGGGCGACGATTCAAACTGATAAGAAGTGGCTGCAAGAAAATACTTGCTGCGGGCTTGAGCCAAGCAAACTCGAAGAAACTCTAAGAAACAGAGCTAAGACCATCCTCAAACTTGCCAATCAGCGTCCAGCCCTAACCCTAAACCCTAAACCGTCCAGAATGTGTTCACTCCGGCGGGCAGATGGTTTGCCGTGAAGCTTCGGGTTCCGACCGGCGGCTACCAGAACCTGTACCTTGCATGACCGACCCAAGAGTTTTGACAACTAAACCCTAAACCCTAAANNCCTAAACCCTATATCCTAAACCCTATATCCTAAACCCTAAACCCTAAACCCTAAACGCAACGACGGGGAGGAGCGCCTTCGAAGTCCCAGCACGGGTCCAGGCATTTGTCGATCACCGGCGTCTTGAAGGAGGCGCCGGGCTGCCTCGGATCGGTTTAGGGTTTAGGTTTAGGGTTTAAGGTTTAGGGTTTAGGTTTAGGGTTTAGGATTTAGGGTAGCATGCTTGGACATTTCTAGCCGAACTGAGAGAGGGGGATTCCCAAATAAGAGCTCCCGACAGGAAGCCGAATGAAATGGCCAAGGCACCCGACGACCTCGCACGTGCAGAACGGATCGGAGGTTCCCCTGGTGCGCAAAGTTTTCATGATGCCAGCGACACTCAGAGATGCTCAGAGCGCTGCAGACTCGGACTGTTCCGTTTGACTCCGATTGACGCTCAACGAGGTAACGAAGCCACGAAAGCCGAAACAAAGCCCAGGCTCCAGTTCATGAGGTTAAAATCCGCCGCGCGCAGCCCACGAGCCGAGACGATCCGTACCTGGCCACAAGAGAGGCTCTGCGATGAGTTTGTAGGGGTTAGTGCTCCGGGTGCGGGGTTTAGGTGTTAGGGGTTTTTTTGTTGTCACCGCTTTTCGTCCCTACAGCATGCCAGGGTTTAAGGGCTTAGGGTTTAGGGTTTACGGCATGATGCAAACCTTTTAAGGGGAAGGCGTAGCTTTGAATATGCCATCACAATAGAAGGAATTACTGCCACAGTCGCGGTGGCCAATGTCAGCAGCAGCAGCAGCAGCAGCAGCGGGAATAGTAGTAGTAGTAGTAGTAGTAGTAGTAGTAGGAGTAGCAGTAGCAGGAGTAGTAGTAGTAGTAGTAGTAGTAGCAGTTGTAGTAGTTGTAGTAGTTGTAGTAGTTGTAGTAGTAGTAGTAGTAGTAGCAGCAGCAGCAGCAGCAGAAGTTGTTGTTGTGGTGCTAGTAGTAGTAGTAGTAGTAGTAGTAGTAGTAGTAGGCGTCGTCGTCGTCGTCGTCGTCGTGGTCGTCGTCGTCGCCACCGTTGTCGCCAGCAGCAGAAATAAACGCAGCAGCAGCAGCAGCAGCAGCAGCAGCAGCCACCACAGTGGCCGCAGTAGCAGGAGCACTCCAACACCAAGCTTCAACACTCACCGTTTGCTGCATGGGGAATTGCGGTACACTGAAACAGAAGCAGGGCCGACCCGCAACCCGGACTCAGCTGCATGAGGTCGCCGACCCAGCCGACCGCCCTCGCCTTAGGGCCAGGGTTTCAGGCCAAGGTGGGTCCGTACTCAAAGCGAACGACTAGAAAGGCACCTAGCTTAGAGGATTACGTTCTGACATCAGCCGGCAAATCCGCAATGAAGGGTCCAGGCTTCTTCGGATATTGAATGGGGTTGATTAGGCTGTTCAGGGCTTTCTGGTTTAATTGCAAGCTCGGGTTCCGTTGAAAGTTCCAGTGTTCAAGTTTAGACGGGACGTATGACCTTTCCGGGTCAAGCAAGAACTGCAGTTCTGTTTGGTTTCTGCCTGCATGGCAGCCGTCCGAGGGTTTGATCCATCACACCAGTACGGACGGCGTTCCTGCTTCTGCCAGCTTTCGAAGAAAAAGCGCGCATGAATGAGTGAATGACTGACTGAAAAGAAAGAAAGAAGGTAGGAAGGAAGGAATGAAGGAATGCATGAATGCACGTCCGTGTGTTTGCGTGTGTGCGTTTATACCGGCATATAATATGTACACATATGCACACACGCAAACATAGAGAGAGAGAGAGTGAGAGAGAAAGAGAGAAATATACACACACACACACATGAAGTCACCTATGTCTTGTTGGATTTACGTATATGAAACATGTTGTGCATTGCACCTTTTGCTTTGCTTGCCACACAAGATGTTGCACCCATACTATACTATACCCTAAACTCTAAACCCTGAACCCTACATTATACTATACATCCTCCAGAAAAAGCCTCCGATTCGATCTCCGACCTCTCTTGACGGCCGAGCGGCTGTGGCAGGCGCGAGCTTTTCGCTCTAGTGCCTGGCAACGGGCGGAAAGAGCCGTGAGGCGGGTCGTCTCTTTTAACATTCACCTACCTAGTGCAACAATAGTACCAAGAATAACAATAATTATGGTAAAACATACCAAGAGCAATAGTAGCACTAACAATGGTACATAATGGTACATACACTTCTCGAGCCCGAAGCAATCAATGCAGAGCCACCTCTGCTTGAGCCCGCAGCTGGGAAGCTTGGAATGCCTCAAGCATGCATGCAGCATTTCAAGACGCCCCGGCAGAATGGCAGAGTCATCCACAGTACCCTGTTGTCGAGAGCCCTGTGTCTGCGTGCGCGGATCGCATGGCAAACCACGAAGCAAGAAACGTTCGGCTGCTCCTCCTTTTCCGATGTATCTTCCCCTGATGCCCGACACATGATCCAGGACTCATCCTAACGAGCCATCTACCGACACCCGACATAGGCACTTTGAGTCAAAACATGTACACTGAAGATTCCGAACTAGTTGCCTGAAGATGTCAAGTACAAAGGCACGCGAACCATTGAGAACTTTGGACAGCGAAGGTCTCAGCTATTGCTGGGAATTCCTGTCTCTGCAGCGAAGGGGCGAAGCGTTCCGCCTCCCGCTTCTGCCTTCCACTCACTGTCTTCGTCAGCGCGGCTTGAGTGGCCTGTCACATGTGGTCAGGCAGTAGCAAAAACAGGAAGCAGTCAGTCGGTGCAGCAGCAGTGGCATGAGGCCCACGCATACCTCATACTAAATGGGCTGGCATGTTCTGATGGAATATAGTAATAATGCAGATAAATTCAGGATCCCTTCATGAAGCCCTGCAGCTTGTGATTTCTGTGCAAACCCAAACATGGAAATCCCGTACCTGAATGGCACCACTTCTGCATTGCACAAGGCAGCAGACGTGTATGTGTACCGGATGCATGCAAGCAGAGAGTTCAGATACGTACAGAAGGACAACACAACAACATAAACGAACAACCGAAAGAAGAATCCCCAAACGCCCGCTTTGCAAAGCACTTCACAAAGCTCACGGCACTGTAGTCCTGCCACATGTACAACCAGCAGACGTAGATCCAGATTAGCTGAAGCAAAAGTGACTTTAGCTTGCCAGGGCTCCTTCTTAGGAGTCATGTTGTTGATGTGCCACAATTGCAACTGTCCTCGGTTCGCGTTTCCAGGTTTCGGGGGCTTCGGGTTGCATTGAGGTGGACGCTTGTCACTGCCGTGTGAGCTATCGAGCGTGCAGGGATGATTGCATTTCATCAACGGTCGCAGCTACCTCAGAAGTGCCCCTAACATCCTAAACCCCCAAAGTTACCTTCCCCTCGGTGGGTTTGTAGATGCTTGTAGTCTCGATTGAAACCCAAGCCTCGAATGCCGGCTTACTCAAGGCTTCGCAGCGCCTGCAGCTAGTCAGTGGAGCCTCCAAAAAAATGATTCTCATCGGTCCTGACCACTCAACACTGCTACGTTCATCGGAAACCCTCACTCAACAAAGGGCCCTATCTCTGGGGACGAAGCCTCGCAGTTTGCAGCTGAGCCGCCAGAGAAGCACGGGCAAGCGGCGCCGGTCCAGTTTCCCAGCTCCTGACAAGTTTGGTACCATGTAGGGGATTTGTAGGGCGGGGTTCCTGGTGAGGGCTACTCGGAAGGTTGCTGTAATAATAGTTAGAGTTGGTTGGAGTACAAGTATGCAAAAAAGGTTCAAGGAATAGCTGCGCAGATCGTGAAAACAGCATCCAGATGTTTAACCACTTTAGGGGGAAGTTCTACTGGGGCCCGGTGCATAGGGGGCAGCTCGGAAGCAGACAGGGCTGGAGGATGCTGACCGGACAGAAGGTAGACGGCAGGTCATCTGCGATGTCCTCGGCTATTGATGCTTCAGAAGGTACTGAGACTGCAAAAATCACATTGGACTTCTACGTGTCCTCATCCTTGAACTCCATGATCAAGTTGTGCTGCAGGAGCACGGAGTTCAACTGAGCCACTACTCAAGCAAGAGCGCAGGAGTATGCTCCGACAGGCATGCAGACAGGCAGACAGGCAGGCAGGCAGACAGACAGACAGAGAGCGGCATGTCTGAGGCGCGCATGCATAATCTGAAAACATATCTGATCGGCTCCGAGCGGCTTCCATGGTGACTTCGCCTGTGCAGGCAAAGCAACTGCGTCAATCCATGCCTGGGCCTTCAGTACTACAAACTTTGGAGCCTCGAGTCTCCTTGGCAAGGCTTCTGCTGGCCGATTTGCGTCTCCCCTCTTCAGGGACAACTACCTCTTCTACCCCTACGGCCACATCTTCCAAGGTGGCAAGCAAAAACGGAGCCGCATCCGTCGTGTTCCAAGTCGTGCTCTGCTCTCCCCGCCATCAGAATCGCATTAGCCGTCTGCCGCGTGGAGTGATGCCAACTCCCCCAACTCCGTCCTCCAGGTCGTGCGTCCCGTTTCGTGCCGTGCCGAAATTTCCTCGCCTGTTGGCATCTTCCAAGTCCTTCCAAGACCCCTTGGCTCTTTGCTCCGGAGCTCCTGGCCTTCCGCTCTACGACTTCACAGAACAGAAGGGCAACAAGTTCGAATCCGCAATGACTCAACTCCTACCACAAGATCACTCGGAGTGCTCCCCCAAAAAAGCGGCTCAGTCCCGAAGTTGCAAGACATGAAAACAAGGAACCGAAGCGCGCCTATTCGTAACTCCTCCTCCGGTTTGAGATCTGTAGACGAGAAGAAGGCAATGTGAACCTGTGGTCTTTGGCTCTGGGCTTCAAGGCTCTTGGAGCTTTCCCCAGGACAGGATTCTTCGGGTTTAGCACATAGGGCACGTAGGGCTCGGGTTCGGGCGTCTTGGTTGAGGGGTGTGAAGCCCAGGTGATCCCAAGTGTCTCTTGGCTCTGGGCTTCAGCGCGACAGGCTTGTGGATCTACTCGCTTCTGCAACAAGTACTGTGAAACCGCTCTTCAGAGGCAGACTAATTGTTACTATTATTACTATTATTGCTATTATTACGATTATTACTATTATTCCAGTTATTCCTATTATTCCTATTCTTACTATTATTCCTATTATTCCTATTATTTCTATTACTATTATTACTATTATTATTGTTATGATTATTATTATGACAGACCCAGTATGAAAGGCACTCTCGGGAGGCAATGATAGGATACCTCAAAGTCAGATCCATGGCGCGGTACCCTTAGGCTGCAGAGATGCAGGGTTTAGGGTTTAGGGGTGAGAGCAACTATGCCACAACGAACCGAAGCTCGGAGATTTGACGCAACAGCATGCAAATCTGCAGCTTTGTGACGACCTGAGCCAAGCCCATCCCAAATACATACCAAACCTTCTCCATCGTAGGCTTATCAAGCAGAAATTTCGGGCTACACCCTGACTGCACATGTAGTTCTTAGTCTTAGCCCTAGGCTATCCGGCCCTTCTCCTACCATGTCCCTAAACTCAAAGCGCATCGAGAGACCCGGCCCAGGGATCTTTGCTATTACTTACATGAGGGTTAGGGTTTAGGGCATTTTTGGGAGGGTTTAGGGCTTAGGGCTATTGTATCATTCATACTTGCGTATCTGACTTTTGCTTCGAGCTTGATCTTACCCGCAGGCCTTCGTCGGCTTCGCATTGCGGATGAAAAACCGGAAGCTCTGCTCGAAGGTTGCCTTGTGTTAGGCTCTAGACGTTCCGGGTTTGGAGGGGCAGAATCCTGGGTTCTTGGGCTTTAAGGGTCCAGTGTAAATTGAGCTTGAAGGCTTCTTCCAAAAAGGCTATCTCGGCCGTGCCGCTTACATCGCCACTCCCATCCACCCTTTCGACCTGCCTGGCTTAGTTTTCATTTGTCCGACTTCCCACAAATCGGTGCCGACAGGCTGGGAGGGATTCCTCGGGGCATCAAGCTGGAGCCCTGAGTTGTGATGGAGAAGATGCAAGGCTTCTCTTTCAATAAACCCCAAACACTGAACCTAAACCTCAACCGAACTTTGGAATCACGCCATGAAGCCTGCAGCCCTGTCATACAACTCAACCTCACAGTAAGGCCAAGCTGCGTACTTGGTTGCCTGGCCAAGCATTCCATCGCTCATCCTCCGACTTTGGTCGACGTCAAGCATGCCAGCTACATATTGTCTGTGTATCATGCATGAGAAGTACTTCCACGAGTATTCATCATCTTCTAAGCTACGTTTCGCAGACAGAAGATCGTCCCGACCTCTTGCTTAAAAACTATCCCGAGCTGAAATAACTAAAGCCAAGAACAAGAAAAGAAGCACCGACGCACAACTTGGATGGCTCGTTTTAGAAATCAAAGGACCCGAGTAACCCTAAACCCTAATGTGGGGGAAGGCATCAGGATCCTTGAGCAGGAAACCCCCTAAGTGCAAACAGCCCTAGATCACTTTCCCCTGAACCCTAAACCCTGAGCCCTAAGTCCTACACCCTAAAACCCTTAACCCTCAGCTCAGCCCTAAGTCCCAAGCCGTATACATCTTAAACCCTAAACCCCAGTGTCACGGAAGCTCCTGCTGACCGTCTCGGACTTTTGCCTCATTCACAGGGTGAGGGACGTGGTTGCAGGCTTCGGTGGGTTTTAAGTTTGGGTTTGGGGATTCGGTCTAATCTAGGGCGCTTCTGGGATGCGTAGTACTTAGGGCTGTAGTTTGCAGGGATTGGGGGTTCGGCACCCGCCAGGCAGATAATGGATCTGGAGGACAGTCTGAGTCTCAGAGAAACACAGACGAGGGGTTCAGATAAACTCAGGAGCCGGGAGCAAGCAAAAAGCAAAGGCAGCGGAAGGCTGCAGATGGACTCCTTGGGGCCGCCAGCTTCCACGGCACGACAGCAAGATTAGGGCCTGGGCTATGAAGGTTTCACGAGTAGCGTTGAGGGTCAAGTAGGTTTTAGGATCAGGATGTAGGATTGAGGATTTAGGGTTTAGGGTCCCTAGGGTTGGGGGGGCTTTGCACCCGCATGTTGGGCACAAGTTTGCCGAGGCACGCGACAGGGTGCGCAACCGCAACGACCCGGTCGGAGGTCCGCTGGGACACCCCCTCCTGAAAAGCTACAAGAACGCGATCTTGATAAGTAGAATAGGATCTAGGGTTTAGGGCGTTTAGGGTTTAGTCTTTAGGGTATAGAGACCTTGCTGAGTAGACGAAGGTTCGTTTAAGGTTGGAAAAGGGGATTGTAGGGCTCAATGAAGGTTCCGCAACAGAGGGGCCAGAATACTTAGGACAGAGTTTTCGGTAAAAAACTAAAAATCGGTCCTCAACGGGATACCATTATCAACCATTCCGACCCTACACAAAGCAGCTTTACGCGCCTGTGAGTAGCTCAACTATCACTACTCTTCTCATGGCAAACAAACTGATACTGTTCCGAGAAGTGTCTCGATACTATATAGCTCTCGTACATCTGCCGTAGACAGACGGGGCGAAGAAACTCTGCGGAAGGTTCCTTGACTGGCTTGACCCAGACTCTGAAGCAAGCAGAAAGGAGGAGGAGGAGCGGGAGGCGGAATGAGAAGACAGGCAGGAGTGATGGCCATTATCAGAGTCACTAAGAGTCACTCAGAGCCCACGCCTACACCCTAAACCCTAGACCCACACCCTATAACCCTAATGCCTAAACTCTGTCCTGGGGCTCTTTGCAGGTGGCGCCCGTCGGCTCCAACCCTGGTAGGATGGTGCAGCGCGCGAAGAACCTGAAGGTCTAAAGCTTGGTGTCAGGGGATCTTGGCCGTAAGGGTGCGATGAGTTCTGGCGGCTGAAGACTTAGGAGAGTGGAGGGGTCCGGTATGCCATGAAGGGAAGGCTCAGCTTTTCCGCCTCAGCTTTCAGATTTCCCTTCGGGTTTGGGGCTATTGATCGCCCACTCGAAGAAACTACGTAGGAAGGAGGATGCAAGGCCCTGTTAGCACTAGGGGCCTGGGAGCAGAAGTCATGCTACAATCTGCTTGAGGTGCGTGCTTCGTGAAAAACCCGGGCTCCCGAAACGTCAAACCCGAAGCTCCGAACGCCTCAGCTCTAAAACTCCCAAACCCCCTAAGGCCAAGATCCTACGTGATTACCCCCGGGTCTCCGGAACTCTTCCAAAAGAACCCGAAACGCTCAAACAAACCCCCCCCCCAAAAAAAAAAAA